TCATCCATCTTGATGAAGTGTTTAGTGAGCCTCTGAACTCACCTATCTTAATAAAGTGGCAAGGAAACATTTTCCCATCCAACTCATGTTTAAGCTCAAATGACTCTTTCATATGATCATTCGCTAATCCACTAAAAGAAACAAACGATAGACAGTTAGAGTATTATTACTATGAATTTATGTATTGATCAACAGTTTGAATGTACAGTCAAACATGTTCTGAGGGGATTTTTTTTACAGTAACTGTTGTGTCTAAAGAGCAAATGGTCAGTTACATGTAAGTCTGCACTGTACATTGTTTAGGTAGGAACATCCATAAATATACATATTCAGGCAGGCTGGTTTCCTATATGTTCAATTAATGTACAACTACATGTACCAATAGCAATTTGTTAGTTTACAAAAGACATGTACATGGGATGCAGAGTAGCCAAATAAATAGTGTGCTGGACTCTAGCTTGAGCGGCCCTGGGTCATAACCCAGCTGGGGGCCATTATGTTGTATTCTTGGGCAAGACACCTTATTCTCACAGTGCCTCTCCCCAGTTAATGAAATACATGTAGGTTCTGGCAAATTAAACGCTGTGGAAAGAGAGAGTGAGGTGAAGGAGGGGGAGAGGGTAATGCTGTGATGGAATAGCATCCCATCCAGGAGGAAGTATTCATTGAGGTTTCATGCTGAGATATCCCAAGACAAGCACTTGCCTGAAGGGTCACTAGGGTTGCATGACAATCCAATCAAATATTGAAAACATTGTTACCTGAATAACAACTCAGTCATGTGTTCATCATTCAGTCCTCCGTAAATCTTGAATTTTCTAAGATTGCAAACATGCGCCTTTTCGTATTTGCCAAATGTGGCGCTCATCACAATGGCTGGTTTTTCCAGTTTTAGTATAAGAAACTGCAGAAAATAACAAAGTTCAGAGATCATTTATTATTATTTTCTATATTAACTTATTCATTTGCCACTCAAAACACAGAACGAAACTACATTGAAATCCTGATTTTTCCAACCTCCAAAGGAAACTGGGATTGGTTTGAAAAATCTAGCAGTTTTAAATAGAGATTGTGGGTAAAACCAGTGTTGGACTGAGTGGAGGAAACCACTTTTGGTTCGAGGAATTGAGAGTTTCGAAAAATCAAGTATTCGAAAAGAAAAAAGGATTACAATGCACATATAAATCACTGCATTTGCTTGTACTGACTATGAAAGCCTTAACTAACGAATTAAGCTGCGCTTTCTACAGTTTATATACATGATGTGGTAGTACATATACACTGAACCTGGAAATTTGAAATTCATCCCATCTAAGGTAAAAGTAGCGGGAGCTGGAGTGTTCAGCAGGAAACTGAACAATTTTCATAGCTAATAATCCTAGGATTCCTATTTTCTTTTTACCTGGGGCGGATAATTGCTATCTGAAGACCATCGTGACGATTGATCATTCGGTTTGTCCACCATAATATTCCTAAATACAACATGAAAATGTTCCAAAATTAAAGACTGTCACATCAAAAAAATTCCATAAAATGCAAGATGTAAGCCTGCACGAGCTCTTACGTGGGCAAATAATTTGCAGAATGGCTTGAACACTTATGAATTGAGTACGTTAAGACACGAGGTTCAAGGGCTCCTGAAGCCGCCATTTTGGCGTACTTCAACGATTGCGCAGTTACCTGCACGAGCGCGTGTAGTCATGGGATAAATGAGCCATCTGTCACGCAAGTCAGCAAACTCGTTATCAAAGATGACGGCCCTCTGTGGTCGGAGTGGGATTTGGAGATGCGGATTTCAAGCCACCTTGATCGTAAATGTGAGGCTATACTTTTATTTTAATACATAATTTACTAGATTTGACGTAAAATCTAAACGTTATTAGCGACATTTCATACAATCGATTTCTTTTTTTTTTGGTAAAGTTTGTAACATCGTTCCAGACTTGTGACCAGTTCGAATTCGAATTTTAATGAGCTTTATTTAAAAGCTTGCATACGTAGTAATTTTCAACTATTTTGGTCATTTCGTATTAGAAAATTCACGTGAACAATTTGTCGATGTTTTCAACAAGGGGATATTCCTGTTTTACAGGTAAGCTTATTAAACTAAATTAATTCTTAGAGCAGTTTTCAATTGAGTGTTGTAAAGCCAAAACCGATGTAATCACTCTAGCTAATCACAAAGGCCTGTGGTTACTCCCTTATATGGGCCCCAAAGGGTATGGCTATTTAGCCGTTTTGGTCATATGTATCGATTTGTGTATCGATTTGGCCATTTTGTTCTTAACTAGGGTATGGTTTTTGTACTCTAGTCTTGAGTTTGGTATGTTTTTTTAGAGGAAGCTACTTTTTCATCATTATTGATAAGACCATAAACAAAATCCCATCAAAAATTATGTTTAGGGCAACTGTGTCAGCTGCAACAGTCATAAATAGGGTATCAAATTTTTTGTCTGGTCATAAATAGGGTAAGGAAAACCGCAGATTTTGGTCGTAAATAGGGTAAG